CAAGGTTGTACATCCTGCGTAAGAGCAGTTGCTAATGCCTTCACCTGTGAGAATGGGAACACCGCCTCATTGAAGCGGACATGCCGGGATATGTAGACACGTCCAGACTGAATACCAAGACACCGGTAGCCATAGTAGGAGTCCGGGTAACCAAGGAAGACACACGCCTTGGAACGGAAGTCCATTTTGTGTGTGTTGTATGGGCGTAAATGCGGGAAACACTCACACCCAAACACACGTAGTATGGTATAGTTAGGAGCATGACCGTAAAGTAAAGAATACGGACTTTTACCACACGAAACAGGAGATGGAAGGCGATTGATCAAGTGTACTGCCGCTTCAAAGGCATAGAACCAGAACTTGTGGGGAACCTGAGCACGGGCTAACAAAGTCAGACCCGTTTCTACCACATGCCGATTCCTGCGTTCCACACGCCCATTCTGTTCGTGTGTATGAGGACATGACTTTTTGTGAAGTATTCCTAGGGCTGCAAAAACCGTACCTAATTTCATGTATTCAGCACCCATATCGGATTGGACACACTTTATGGGGCGGGAGAACTGTTTCTCCACTAATGCCCGAAACCTGCCAAAGATAGTATAAATGTCCGACTTTAGATGCATGGGATAAATCCACATGAACTTAGAGTAGTCATCGACGAACAACACAAAGTACTTATGGCCATCAACTGTGGGCACAGAAGATGGACCCCAAATATCAGAAAAAACAAGATCCAAAACCGACTCACTAGACTTTTCAATACGTGACAATAGGAAGCGCGCAGACTTGCCCATCTGACACGGAGTACATACGTTATTTAAAGAATTACAAGACCCTACAACTGGACAGGTTGCCAAGACTTGTTTTAATACTCGAGAGTTGGGGTGACCGAGACGCTCATGCCATGTCCTTGGGGACGCTTTAGCAGACAAGAAAGCAACTGGACTTGAAACATTGAGTTGGTACATCCCACCTGTGCTAGGACCTCTAAGCAGAATCTGCTGGGTGGTACGGTCCTTCACAACAAAAAAACGAGGGTGAAATTCAAAGTACACATCATTATCTTGTGTAAACTTTTAGACAGACAACAGAGACGCACGTAGTTCGGGGACATGTAACACATGCTTTAGAAACAGAGACCGAGACGGGGAATTTAATGTAAAGGAACCTGTATTCTTTATAACCAAACCTGTGCCATCTCCTACTTGCAGTGCCTCACCGCCTGAATAGTGTTCTACGCCAGTCAGACTATCAACCGCCGATGTAGCATGCGCATTGGCCCCTGTATCAGGCAGCCACACATTTGAAAAAGGAGCAGTATTGTGGTCATTTTGTTGCTGCCGGTGTGCCATGTTCGCCTGAGGTTGAGCAGAAGCCGAACGAGGGCCGCCGTAGTCGTTGAACCGCCGGTAGCAAGTCAGGGCTGTGTGACCGGGTATGTCACATATTTGACAACGCACACCACCTCAGCCACGCTGTCCACGCCCTCACTGTCCTCTCTGATGCCGGCCGCGACCACGTCCACCGCCGTTGGTGGACCGGTTGTTCGATGGTGCCTGCTGGGCAATCAACACCGCCGGAGAATGGCCGACTGGTGCAGCTTCTTCCGGAAAAAGGTAGATGTGAGTATTAAGGAGATCAGCTACTTCCGATATGGTCAGGGGAGCACTTTTGGTCGTGAGGGAGGCAACGAGTGACCGATATTCTGGCCTGAGACCACTGAATAGATGCAGGTTCTGCTCGTCCAGTCCTATCGGTCGACCGGCCAATGCGAGCTGTTCGACAAGAATTTTGGCACGTCCGTAGGGGTGTTAGCGAACAGAGCTTTCGGCAAACTACTCGTGTTCGTGTTCGGTAAGCGTTCGTTTATGTTCGTTTGTTAAGGTAAACGAACATTAACAAACAAAAATTAGAGCTCGGTTAATAAACGAACAGAGCTTGAACCGTTGTAAGCTCGTTTGCTAAGAGATCGTGAACAAGTTCGTTTGTGTTCGTTTACTAATGTTCGTGAACAAGCTCGTTTATGTTCGTTTAATAATGTTCGTGAACAAACTCGTTTGCGTTCGTTTAATAATGTTCGTGAACATGTTCACAAAAATATATTATATTATATTATATTATATTAGTTTTGTAGTTGTGTTGTTTGTTTGATTATTGTTCGTGAACATATATTATTTATTGTTCGCGAACGAATTGTGATCATGAACATGTGCAGGTGTTTGTTTATTAAGTATTCATGAACGTAAATGAATATGTTCGTGAATGTGCTGTTTAATGAACATGTTTGTGAACGTGTTTGTTAACGTTAACGAACACGTTTGCGAACGTGTTCACGAACGTAAACAAACATGTTCGCGAACATGTTCGTTAACGTTAACGAACACGTTCGTGAACATGTTCGCGAACGTTAACAAACACTAACGAACTCTTAACAAACGAACACGAACATGATTTTCAAAAACCTTAACAAACGAACACGAACACGAACACTCCAAATTCCTTAACAAACGAACACGAACAACCTCCGTTCGTTTATGTTCGGTTCGTTAACAGCCCTACACGTCCGAGATACTCGGATGTCGACGAGTTCCCTTGCTGAAGCCCCTGGAGTTGTGTCAGTAGGCTGAGGGTGCGGAAACGCGACGTCGAGCCCAAGGCTGTTTCGACCGATACCCAAACCGCCCTGGCAGTGTTGAGGCCGATTGCGAGGTATAGTACCTCCTCCGCCATGGACGAGTACAGCATGCTTAGAATGGACTGGTCCTGTTGGACCCAGTCGGCGTGCAGCGGATTCACCACCGGGGTTGCCGTCGGCGTGGTCGGGGAAGGCAGAAACTCCGGCGGACACACACTCGTTCCGTCGACAAAGCCATAGAGATTTTGGCCTCTCAAGAACGGGACCAGCTGTGCTCTCCAGAACAGGTAGTTCGTGGCATTCAACTTTAGTGAAACATAGTGATGCGCCTGCTGCAACATACTGGCCGGACGTCGGTCAGGTTGCGCAACTGCTTGGTTCTCTCGTTCGGAGGAGTCGGCGGGAGTGGGGTTGGACGCGATTGTGGGTGGGTTGGCCATTGGATCGTATTTTAGACTGATACCAAATGAGAAGGGAAAACTCAGGATTTCAATATTCACGGTGATGAAATATTACAAGGTTTATATAGTAGAGCTGCCCACCACAATAGGTGGGGGAGCTTGACACAGCTAAAGACTCTACTTTATTATAACAAACTAATAACAAACTAGCTGACTTAATAGTCCTTTTAGTATGCTTTTTTTTTTACACATTAAGTCCTTCCGGCTAATTTGTCGGTAGATTTTCACCGGAAAAACAATTTAATTTGTTTATTAATTTTTTGGGGGGGTAAAATGGTCATTTTGGTCTGAGAAAAAAGGGAATAAACGGTGGCTTCTATTTCCCACCTTAAATAACGTCCACCTTAGTATCATCGTAAAGCATTACGGAGAGTATTGTTGGTGAAGGGTTCACAAATTGTTTCCAATTTCCGATTGCACTTACATCGGATTACGATGCTCGGATCTCAACTAGGCGTCCGTACGATCTCCGGTGCCGGCGTTCTCACCGATTATGCCCAGACGACGACGACGCGCTTCTGCCGAATTTCCAGCTCGCATTCTTACTCTTCTTCGCTACCGCTTATCCGCCGCCGTGGCTATTCGTTTCAGCTCTAGCGCTCCCTAAACAGGCATTGTATGATTTGTAGGAAGCCATCGAGAGCGACCGCTGAGATGTCTTCCAAGTCTTCTCGCGGAAGCTCCGGGAGAAAATCGAACCAAAGCGAAGACCACGATGGCGATTACGTCGAAGCCGTTGTACTCGTTTCAGGTCTCAAAAATTCTCCGTTTAAACTAAATTTTGGTTACTCTTTGTCCAAAAGTTATTAAACCTAAAATTATATGTTTGATTTTGCTATAAACAGAATTCGAATTAATTGATTGTGGATTTTTAAAAAAAAATTAAATGATATAGAAAATCAATTAGACAACGTATTTAAGGTGGGAAATAGAAGCCACCGTTTATCCCCTTTTTTCTCAGACCAAAAGTGACCATTTTACCCCCTCCCCCCCACCCCCCCCCCCCCCAAAAAAAAAAATTAATAAACAAATTAAATTATTTTTTCGGCGAAAATCTACCGGTAAATTAGCCGAAATGACTTAATGTGTAAAAAAAACATACTAAAAGGACTAAATCTGTTAGTTTTAAAAGTCACGAACTGAAATTACCACCTCCCCTATAGTCATAGGACCAAAATTGTAATTTTCTCTATTTAAATTGATATACAAATATAAATTATAACAAGAAATATTATATAGCACAGTTGAAGAAATGATTGTATTGATTATATTTTCTGATATTATCCTTATTTGAATAGAAGTAAATAATTACTTAATTATCTGTGCAATGCGCACGCGCGATGCACAGATACAATTATTATTACTATTATGGAATATTAAAAAGTGGTAAAAAAGAAACCAAATGCATTGCAAAATATGTCTGCCGATCCCCACCATTTCACGCTTAATACTTCTCATTTTCAACAACCCACCCGACCCCTACTACGCTCTCTGTGACTCTCTCATCTCAATCATAATCCAACACTACTACACAGCAGGCCTTTAACGTCGGTTATTTAGAGACTTTAACGTCGGCTAAAAAGCGACGTTGTATAGTAAACATACGACATCGGTTAAATAAAAACTGGCGTTGTATTTTTTTTATTTAATTAATACAACTTATAACGTCGGTTAGTAGGAAATAACCGACGTTTTATGTAGTTAATTTTTAAAAAAAAATTTAACATAACACGTCGATTTGTAGTTAAAAACCGACGCGTTATGTCATTAAAAAAATAAAAAAAATTATGCCTACAGCCAGAGAACTGTAGCGATGGATTACTGCTAGAACAGTTTCAATTGCTGGAAAGGCAATTAGTTTTTGCCTTCTTTTTCACCTACACTTGCTAACAGAAGAAATTCCATTTACATATAATTTCCTTTGTTGCTAGGAAGATGATGACAAATAACACCAATGAAGCTAGCAAAAGAATTCTGATATACTAATGCAGTTATGCCAAATGTCTTGGGGGCATTTACAACTTCAGAATGATACTTGTCTTGATCCAGATTAAGGATTATTTTTCCCAGTGTCACTGTGCCCTTCATATCTATATGAGTAGTTCAAATTCCTTCAATGAAGAAAGTAGCATATTAACATGGCATCAGCTTCTCAGTCTACTCTAACTTCAAAGGCTAAGATCATAATTTCCAAAACCACATTGAGTTTCCCCACATTTCTATGCATGCAAGCCTAAGATAACAATAGAATTAAGCAGCAGTGTACACCACCGATCTCCAAAAGAGCCTTAATTAATCAAAATCAGTATAAGAAACTAAGCATAAAAAAATGAACACCGCAACAGCAATATAATGAACTAACAATTAGTCTTACATGAGAAATACTTTCATGTATGGCAGCTCTCTCACGTAATAACTGATCTCTTGGAGACATGCTCCCTGCCTGCTTAAATAAAAATCTTAGATTAATAAGACAAAACACTTGCATCCATTAGAAAACTTAAAACTCGAAATTACTCACCTTGGAGGTGTTTGGCAATTAGCTGATAGCTGATAGCTGGTTGAGTTAACTGATAACTAATAGCTGATTGTGTTAGTTGGTTTGACCACCTGATTATATTAGCTGGTTATAGAAAAGTGTTTGGTAAATTAGCTGTTTATTTTTAGCTGATTATATGTAAAATGACCTATAAGGGTATTGTGTTAATTTTTTAATTCTTTAGTCATATTTACCATTTTTTTTAATTCTTTAGTTACATTTACAATTTTTTATTATTATTATTATTATTATTAAATGTAAGCTGAAACCACCACCGTACTTTTATTATTATTATTATTATTATTATTATTATTATTATTATTATTATTAACCATTTGACCAAACCCACACTCATTCAGTCATTTGTAAACCAAAGCCCTACCCGTTTCTTCTACCCCAAATCAGACGCCCAAATCCCTACCCATTTCTTCTGCCCCAAATCAGACACGAAGAGGAGCAGTGGAGATCAATCAAGAAACCCACAGTACATTTGTATTTTCTTCTACACCAAATCAGACGCAAAGAGGAGAAGAGGAGCAGTGGAGGAGGCAAGAATCAGAGGCGAGAGACGGTGGGAAAGAAAAAATGGCAAGAATCAGATGGCAACGAAGATGAAGATGAGTCATTAGTCGTTTCCATTGTTGTTGGTGTTTTTTTTTTAAAAAAAAAAAAAATCAGTGATGGGTTGAATATGAAAGAAGCAGTTGCGAGATGAGAAGATGCAGATGGGAAGAAGGGATGCGAATGAGAGAGATGAGATTTCTCAGATTAGGGAGATGATTTACATGGATTGAAATGTCATTTTACAAATAAATTGCAAGCAGCTGATGAAAAACGCTGCTAACACCAGCGTTTTGTATTTTGGCTGATTGGCCCAATCAGCCATTTACCAAACACTCAAAAATAGCTTATTGACTGGTCAATCAGCTATTTTTAGTCAAATTAGCTAATTTTTGACTGATAAGCCAATAACCAAACACCCCCCTTGTATTCACTAATATCATCTCTTACAGAACTAAGAAGTTCCGCATGTTCCCACATTGAGCTTATATTCCCTTTAATACGTCTAAACTCCTGAATACAATCATGGAGTCAGTACAAGAGAAATGATAACCAGAAACCTTAATATTACTTTAATATTACTACATACGTTTTTCTTTTCTTCTTCAATTGCTAATGTAGATAATAATTATTAAAAAAAAAAAAAACAGTAACATGTGGCTAACTTAGCCGTGGAATTCTAGAGGATCAATATAATGAGCTAATGGGAAAGCCTTTGCACAATCAAATCCTACCTGATCTATTAAATATGGGTTTGTGATCACCTAGCCTCTTTTTCTGTATGCTTCACGAACTTCTTCACACGAATTACAACAATTATCATCTGACTGCAAAAAGAATACAAGTTGATAAAGAGTGATACCTTAAGAATATACACGAATTACCCTCCTTCATGCGCTACTTCATGCACATCATGAATAATCCACACTTATTGTATTCCCACTCTTAAATAAAAAAAAAAAAAAAAAGTAATGATGACGAACAGTAGATGCCATATTAAAGAAGCCTTCGCATCTATTTTCACCGGATAGAGAATTTATCACCTTGACAAAATTTTCAATTGTCAACCATTTTGAAATCAACCTTGAAATATTAGTCCCTGACTCCCTGTGGATAAACTAAGAGCAATTTCTTTGCCAGAACAATGAAACAAGAATATACTAGAGCATGTGCTATGAAAAAAGCAGTGTAAGAATCCAAAAGAAATGTACCCATCAAGCATTATATTAAACATTCTACAAGCACCATAACTGAAAGCAATACATAATATCCGATAATCCAGAATGGCAGAGCCATGTCCCAAATTCAACACTGGATTCAAGTCTAAAAAAATCAGCCACAAACTAAAACATCTAAAGAAACAACTAGCAATAGGAATATTATCCTAAAATTTGAAAGGAGCTTATCGTAATGAGTTACGCAAGAATGTACAGTACTAACCAGAATGGCTAAAATAACAAATCGGTTGATCTTTGAAGGAACAATGGGAAATTGCTGCACATATATCTAATTTTACTCATTACAACCCACAACATCATCTCAGGTACGGACCTATGTACTCAGATCAGATCTGAGATTTATTTTAAGAAAAAAAAAAAAACAAAAAAACAAAAAACAAAAAAAAAAACAAAAAACAAAAAACAAAAAAACAAAAAACAAAAAACAAACAAAACAAAAGAAAGGACAGATCTGAGATTTACCTTTGGTGCGGCGGTGCGGCGGCAGGACGGTGTGTTGTGTGGTGGCTGTGCTGTGGTGAGAAGAAGAGGACGGCGTCGGGGGCAATGGTGACTGTGCTGGCCGGCGTGAAGGGGTGCGGTGGTGGCTGCGGTGTGCTGTGCGGTGGCTGTGCTGTGCTGAGAAGAAGAGGACGATGTCGGTGGGAGTGTGAATAGCTTTTGGCTGTGTGATGAACGGAGATTAAATGTAGGGTTTTAAAAAATATATAAAAATTATACAACGTCGGTTGTTCAACAGTCGACGATGTAGATTAATTATATAAATTAAAAATAAAAATTAATTACCTACGACATCGGCTATTCTATTAGCCGACGTCGTATGTTTATCTTTTTTTATATTTTTATTTTATACTTATAACGTAGGCTATTATCTATTAGCCGACGTTAAATAATTTTTAATTAATTTTATATATTTAATTAATTTTTAACGTCGGTTATATAAATAATCGACGTTAAATGTGAATTCTGTAGTAGTGCAACAATGTAACTTCACTCCACTCCGGAGAAGCTAGGGCAACCAAGAAGAGGTACAACTAACGTTGTTAGCTACTGTTGAATATTGGTGAATAAATCGATATACAAAATATATATAAAATATATATTTGTCCCTAAAAAATAGAATTTAATTTTAAAAAATTAATTCCAACAAATTTTGGTACAAAACCAAAATCATATATATATATATATATATATATATATATATATATATATATATATATATATATATATATATATATATATATATATATATTATTAACCAACTAGGGATTTATTTTATCAAAATAATCCCACCACAACTAGTACGAAACTAGTACAAGGGATTTAATCATTCCGAGATTAATCCCACCACAAAACTAGTACAAGGATTTAACCTTTACAAGATTAATCCCACCACTTGGTGCGAAACCAAGAACAAAAACATAAAACAAGAAACGGGTTTCTAACCTGAGGTTTTAACCAACGAGAAAGAAGAAGAAGCAGAGCTTGGTACGAAACCAATAACAAAAATATAAAACAAGATACGGGTTTCTAACCTAAGGTTTTAACCCAACGAGAAAGTAGAAGAAGCAGAGGAAGCCCGAGTTTTGTGTACACACACTCTCCTTAAAACCGATTCGCCGCCTCCCGAGAGTGCTAGGAGCGTTATGGCGTCAGTCTCCCAGGATAAAACGGATTACGACTTTGGCGTTCGAGCACTCAAACCAAAAGCTCGGCGAACAAGAACACAAGTTGAGCACTTCGATGTTTTACGGAAGATGTTGGCAGAATTTTCCCTTCGTAGCAAAAGATGAGACTTGAGAGTATATGGAGGGGAAAACCGAAAAGAAGAATTATGAGAGTTTCAATCTAGAATGTTGTGTTCTCACATTCTGCCACCACCATTGTATTCTCAAAATAATCCTCGACTATAGTTGTTTTTCTCAATTTTGTCCTAAACGACTTTGGTGACTTAATGTAGTCCCAGAGTTTTGTATTTTTACTCAATTTAGTCCCAGACTTTTGTATTTTTGCTCAATTTAGTCCTCCATTTGTTATTCTGTCTATTTGTTGTTAAATAAATAGGCACTTCAGTAATTTTAATATTAGCATCTCTTTACTCATAGACATGTGAAGTGCGAAATCTTCTTTTTTTTAACGAATTACTCTCATAATCACTCCTAAACCTATGAATATAAAATTTGATTCGTAGGCATGAGAGTAATTCTGGGTGTAATTCGTACAAGAAAGGGGGATTTCTAACTTCGCAGGTTGAAAGTAAAGAAAGGTCAAATAGTAATATTATTGAATTGTCACTTTATTTAACACTAGTTTGACGGAATAACAAACGGAGGACTAAATTGAGCGAAACACAAAAGTCTGGGACTATATTAGGTCACTAAAGTCATTTAGGACGAAATTGAGAAAAACCACTATAGTCGAGGACAATTTTGGGTATTAACTCATAACATATTCATGGCACAAAAACCACCATTAATCCAATTTAAAATTGAATTAAACGTTTGAAACGGGTCATATTATTATCGAAATAATATAAACGGTCACAAAATTAATATACAATATTAATTCTTACCGACCTTAATAACCCGTGTTCAAAATACCTGAGTGACCGAGAAGTCCATACGTCTAAAATAATTCCAGCACCATCCGAAAGTCTTCCTACCGGAAGGTGCAGTTAAGCACCTGCGGTTCGAAAGATGAAATTAAGCACCTTCGGAACGGAAGATGCAAATTAAGCATCTCCCGGTACACAGCACCATTTGGTGACATAACCAATTAACCGTTAAGGCTAATTAAGCACTATGATTAGTGCTTCCTTAAACACTATAATTAGTGCATTAAAATGGACGTTCAGCACTACGAAAGTGCATCAAATAGCATTTAACAAATGCTAAAATAAAATTTGAACCTAAGTTCAATTTTTGACTTCTCTCAAATAGGTTCATTTTGAGAATTAATTTCTCATTCACCTATTATCCATTTTGAACGTACATTCTTTGTCTCACTACGAAGAACCCGAATCCATTATGACCCGACCCAAATCTGTAGTGGATCTCACATATATTTATACCACAAAATAACCACTCAGAATTTCATTTTATGCTAAAAATTCCAACAATCCCCCACATGTGAGACGTACATTATATCAAATTCTTTGTCTCACTACGAAGAACCCAAATCCATTATGACCCGACCCAAATCTGTAGTGGATCTCACATATATTTATACCACAAAATAACCACTCAGAATTTCATTTTATGCTAAAAATTCCAACAATCCCCCACATGAATGAAAAATGATTTTCGGGACGAAAAAAAAAAAGACACGAACGTGCTCAACGTTCGATCCCTGCATAGCATAGGTAGGTGTTACCCTTTGAACCTTTCCTTGTGAAGATATGTTTACTCTACTGGCTGTATGGTAGAACTTGATGTCTTTGAACCAACTGCCGTTTGTGTAGACGATGACATATCCCACACAGGAACCTCCCAACCTTTGTTCTGTTCTCATGGGTGTGCCATTTTGGTCATGGTCACCATCCTGGTTCTCCAAGAGTTTCTAAAGAATTGAGCCCGTCAATTCTCCTTTGAAGCGACCCCACTTCTCTCTCACATAGGTGATTCTTTTTCGAGTATCCCGCATAGTCACACATGTCAACCGACATTCAAATCATTAAAGCATCTGCGTGCTAACCTCGTACGGGAGTCACTGTTCTCATGAGGAATGGTAGGAGTCCGAGACCCCCACAGTGACACGCTTC